CGGGCCAGGGGCGGGGGCGGCGCCGGCCGGGCTCGCTCGTGCGGGGCTTGCGCTGCGCCGCCGCCGCGGCCGCCGCGGTGACAGCTCCGGGGATGCTCCGCTCGGCCCGGCTCACAACAATACACTCTGACGTCACGGGGAATGGCGACGCGGCCGCACACTCGCCGCGCTCACACTCGCCCTCTCGCGCGCGCACACCCGCGCACACTCGCCGCGCGCCCCCTACCCCAGCCACGCCCTGAAACCCTCGCGAGACCCCTCTCCCTCCAACCCAGCCCCCAAATTCACGGGGCGCTGCCAACTTCCTCCAGGCCGTTGCACCCCCTTCCCCCTGTCCCGCTAGGGCCGAAAATCGCGGACACGGTGGCCTTTGGAACTTGTGTACGAGTCTGCCCCGCAACTCGACGCCTCCGTCCTGTGCGCTCACACTTACACACTCGCACACACTCCACACTACCCTCCTCTACTGGGCTCGCTTAACCCTGTTTGCGTTTGGCTGAGTGGATTCCCAGAGCCTTGTTGAAAGGGTACAGAACCAGCCTCTTCTTACACAGAACTAATACTGTACGCAACTTAACACAACGTTGAGCAACCTACATCATCTTAAACAATGCAAGACCAAAGAGCTGTGACCATGAATCAATGCAATGCCATACTGTAGCATTAATTATTTTAATTATTTTAAAAGTGTATAGTCATCATTCTACAGAGTAAAACATTATGCATATGTAAACAAATGCGTAGCTAAAGCTTGCGTATTTTTAAAATTATTTATAATTTCCAGGTTTGGGATGCATGAAGAATTGGCTTGTTATTAGCGAACTACAAAAAAAAATGTATTTAGACTTAAAAGTTCATTGTAACTTTTCCAACTTATTACATCTCTGGTAAATTGTTTAGGTTAATAAAGTTACTGTTAAGCAAAGAAGAAATGACGCTTTGACCCATACATTAATTATGTGTATTTGTGTCGAGTATCTAAAAACAAAAAGGTCACTCGTACTGAATTATTTATGTAAAATTGTTTTCTAAATTTAATAATGGTATGTGAACAGTACTTTGTTTTTATATACATTATCTCATTTGACAATGCAGTTAAACGTATATTTTTCCTTCTACTGCACAAATGAGGAAATGAAGCTCAAAAACATGACAATGTATCCAAGACATCTTGCTAAATCGGTTTTAAGAACTGAACCCAAGTCTTTTGACTCTAATCTCATGTTGTTTATAGTATGCCATACTGCCTGCTTAAAAATAAATTCTCATGTCTAAGAAATGAACACATGTCAAATGAAAAGACACATGTCTAAGAATGAGACCAATTATAGTAAGGTGATTCCTTTGAGAGCACTGTCAAATGACTGAAGTAATAAAAATGTTTGATTACTAAAAATTAAGCACAGACAGTTCATAATCATAAAGAGCTGCTTATGCTAATTCTTTTAAAATATTTGTTTTATTAATTCATTAGACTAAGAAATAGTTATGCATGAGTTTAAGGAAATATCCAAAGATTATCTCCACTTTTTCTTTCTTTTTAAAAATGGATTTAGAGAACATGCTGAAGTTATCCCTAGGGGAAAATTTTACCCGTGCAATTTGCATAATTCCATCCAGGTGTATTATATTTTTACTTTACATTTCAAATGTATTAAATTTGAATCACGTCCACATCTGCTTTTATTTTCAGGAATTCTCTTTATGGCTAAAGTAATTGATATATTTTCAAAGTATTTTCATTCTAATGTTTCTTCTTCTACTCAGAAATACCTACTTTAAACAATCAGACCATAACATATAATTTGTTATTTTCTGAGAAATAGTGCTTAATAAGAAGTTTTGGAGCCAGCTAAAGGAAAACATACATATTCTGTTGTTCACAGAAAGGCCAATTTCTGGTTATTAAAGAAGAGAAAATATATCATCTCACTTAAACAAATGTACATTGATGGTAAAATAAAATGCTATTTTTATGCACCCATTCTCTGATAGTGAGTAGAGTATAAATAATCAATATTATGAACCGACTCTTGCTTGGATTCCACCTCAACTTTGGGTTGCCTGAATATAAATAGTCCACAGCAAGTAAGTCTGGTTAAAGACTTGGTAAATAGTCTATGGCAACATAACATATTTCACAGAGCTCCAGAATAGGGTAGGCCACCTTTTCAGAGAGGTTATTTTTATATTACTTTCTTCTCCATTTACCCGAGTACATTCAGCCATACTTTTCCTTATGACTCATTCATTTTCTCAATAAATGCTTGGGTCCAGAGGAGGGAATATATGAATTAATTACAGATCATTTATAGTTTGGTAAATTGTATATCATTTTTTTAATTTACTCTTTTTTAATTTCAGCATATTATAGGGGTACGAATGTTTAGGTTACATATATTGCCTTTGCCCCACCTGAGTCAGAGCTTCAAGTGTGTCCCTCCCCCAGATGGTGCACACCGCACCCTTTAGGTGTGTATATACCGATCCCCTCCTCCCCCCTCCCATCTGCCCAACACCAGATGAATGTTATTACTATATGTACACTTAAGTGTTGATCAGTTAATACCAATTTGATGGTGAATACATGTGGTGCTTGTTTTTCCATTCTTGTGATACTTCACTTAGTAGAATAGGCTCCAGCTCCATGATATTCATAAGATATGTATGAGTAAAATTAAGTGAAAATTAATAAAAGAAATAACTCTCTGATGGAGAGATTAAAGAAGCCTTTTGTAAAGAAAGGTCCTTTCAGGTGGGATTTGAAGAATGAGTAGGATTTGAACATTAACATTTGTAGGAATGGAGAAAAGCTTTTCCAAACGCAAATGCAGTAAAGGTCAGCTAGGACAATTAAAAACTGGGAAAATATTCAAATAGATGACATCTACCAAGCACTGTTAACATTCAGCTAAATTTATATCAGATCACATGTATTTCAGGAACCCTTTCCTTAACTGAGGAGAGAGGAGTGACAGCTCAGCACAGACTCCAGTTAGAACTGCCTATAAATTCTCTCTTTTCTGAGTCCCATCCCAATTATACAGCAATAGGGATTGTTCCAGAGTTCATTTGGCACATAACAACACTTTCTCTGCTTTTCCCTGCTTTCTCCACTTCTATTTCTGTTTTTAGTTCTGAATTCAACAATCCTAACTTCTTTTGTGCATGTCTCCCCTCATCAATTGCAGTAGATTTTCTTTATCTCTTGTAATATTATATTTTTATGTTGCAACACATTTAACAATTGATGAACACTCAATAAATATGAAACTCAAACAGTAAGAAATGTCAATTTATGTATCACAAAATAGAGGTGATCATGTACTGTAAAATGGTCATATAAGACTATTTCATATAAGACTTCAATACCAAGAGATGAGAGACTTAAGACCTTGAGGATAAAAGTTGCTTTGTTATTTCTTTTGTCCCTCAGGACATACAAGGTTTCACCATGGATCCTAATCAAAGAGTTCACCAAACATAGGAGAGTTTAATTGTTTCAGGTGGGAATCAGGAGCTGGGATTGCTTCGGCATTCAAAACCCTTGTGTACATAGCTACCATCTACATGCCTGTGGCATGAGGAAGTCTGGAATAAATGGAAACTTCTTCCATTCCTCCCCCACATCTGCCCACCACCAGGCACAACACAGAGCAGAAGGTGGGGTGGGGAAGAATAATAAAAGATAAGAGGAGAGAGTGGAGGGAAGGGTTTTGGGGGAGATGGAAGAGGTCTTAGTTGGTCTTGATGATCAGCAACATGAGTATTTCTGAAGTATTCTTATTATCCATAAGTCAGAAATCTCCGAATTCTACAAATAAAAACATTTAATAATCTTATTTTTCCAAAACATCTTTGGTTAATGATCAATTAGGATCTAACTAGTCTGGGAAGTCCATGAAAATGATTACCTTGTCTCCTTTCCAATGTCCAATTTCCAGCACTAAGCAAATTACCTACCTATCTGAATCTAGGCTACAATAAATATTTACTGAATAAAAATAAATGATTGGAAATTTAGTAAATTGATCCCTTTTATTGTGACTACCATGGAAATCCAGTGAATCAGGAGATATTTTAATTATATTCTTAGTAGCAATTTTTTTCTCTTCTTTATTTCATTGAGCAGTTCAGAAGATATGAAGTAAAGTGAAATAAAGCCAAATATTGATATTACTAATTATGTATAGTCAGATATTATTAAGTGATGCTCCTAAGGGCTAATGGATTTTGACCTTGTCTCTCTTATTCTAATCTTACAAATTCTTTACTTTTCAAGGCTCTTATTATAGCCATTTAAAGTCAATTTGTACTATAAATATAAACATTAGCAGCACTCCAGGAACATACAGAGGTACTTTAATAATAATATCTGAAACTAATTTTATCTAAATTTGGGAAAGTTCTTCCCTTAGGAGTGAGTTAGCTATGATCATTTTGTTTTTACTTGAAATCTACAACAGTTTAACACTTTAAGATTTCATTGTACTCTAATTATGGAGATATGTGTAGACAGAAAGAAAAAAAAAACTTGTAAATGTTCTTTTTCTTGAACACTTTTCTGCAGTCGATTTTATTTACATTGCCAATGCATATCACTTTCTTTTTTAACTGATTAGAGCTATTTTCAGATTCATTCTTAGTTCTCTGATCAATTTGTATTGTTATTATATCTCAAGGCACTAATTGAAACATAAAATTTTTCATGATATATCCATACCCTTAGTAGCTAAAATGTTCTTAAATATGAGGAAAAATAGAATAAAGTAGCTTAAAATATTTTCATAGTTTTCTTCTGTTCCATTTTCTTAAATTGCTCTTTTTTCTGCTTTATCTGTCTAC